ATCCTCTGTACAGTTCTTCCAGCCAGTTACTCCGTGGAAAAGGATGCAGCAAGAGGAATGAGAGAGAAAATTTCTGAACTAATCAAATTTTCATAGAGGGATTTGAAGCTAGGCACGTAAAATGAGTAGGCAACAAACTCTAGAGAGAAAATTATATGAAAATTTTCAATATGTGAAAAACATGATACATGATTGCAATTACTTTTTGTGTGCTATGTACTATTTAGCATAACTGCAAGTTTGGCAGAGGAGAGGCAGATGAGCCAGGTGCAATGGCTCATGTTCAGAACGGAGCAGCAGAGGCTGAACACTGACAGAGGTCTCTGTCAATTTACTCTTAAGCGATAAGAAGGTATCATTAGGAAGGAAGCTTTGTATGGACTGACTTGTTAGCTGATTAACAAGAAAATTTAAAAAGGACAGACTTTTTCAAAAACCTGGAGAACAACAGCTATGAGACAACAACTTTCACATAGCAAAAGTAGATTATTTCCTTATTTTATCAAAACTGGATAACAGAGCCATGAATATCTATAGAAATGCCACAGAAGTTTACAGGCAGCACTTATCCAGACAGGGAGCTTACACTTTTAAAGGGAGCAATTAATTAAGGCTTTTTTTTTTTTTTTTCCCACCTGTAAGTGCTCTAATTTCCTAGAAGATTGCCTTTATAGCACATGACTTTACCTGGAAGGCTACTGAAAATATTTACATTTTCAAAACTTGTCCTTCTTCACAGTAGCAGAATTTAAGAATTTGCTTTGAATATATAGAAAAATAGTCTCATTTAGCATCATTTACAGATCACACGGTCATGTGCTCTTGAACTCATGTTGCATTATCAGTTATTTACTGTGTTCTCCATAACCTACCAAGATTCTACAATCCTCCTCCATTTTTAACACATTTGGGAGAAATGCACACACATAAAATTACAAGGCTGAAACAGCATCCTCTTGCAACTATATAGATGCAGTTGACCGTTGTCTTCTAGTATTAGTCCAAACCTCCTCAACACTATAAGTGACTGTGGCACTTTCAAAATTTTATTCTGTCTCTCCTTTGAACATACTTCTTTTTTAATATGCAGTTAACTGTAAGAGAAGGTCTGTATGTCACAGACACTTTTGAGTTTAACCCTCAACAAATGTGCACTAGAGAAAATGAGTAAAAGTTACTAATTCTTCTTCATATCTTATACGTCTGAAATTCTTATAAGCCTCTTACATTGTCACAGCTATGTTCATTTGTTTGCTTAGGCTTAGGCTTGAGCTTTTCAAACACAAAAATAATTGCTATTTTGTTGTGAATGGAGTTTTTCCCTAACCTTTCATCTTTCTTATTTATCTCATTCAAAAAAGAGAACAGTAAGGAACTGAATTCCTTGAACTTGCATTAGCATGAGTCACTACACCTCCAAGAGAACCTGACAAGTCCCATGAGAACTGAGGCCAAATGCACATGGAATAACAGTTTCATATGTGGCATTATATTTCCCCTTCCTGAGATGTAAGAAAAGAGAAGATGATTACAGGTAGGTCGCATGCTCAGCCATTAGCTGCATTCATTTCCAGAGCCAGTTTTCTGAACTGAGATCCAATTCTATTTGTCACAAAACCAAATCATAATTCAGGAACATGACTTAACTCACAGGAAACGCAAAGTAATTTGAACTACGCTGGCCTTAAAAATTGTTGTTGTTGTTGTGCATACTTCTTTTCATTAACAAAATCACACTGAACGCAATGGGATTCTACACACAACAACGTGTCCTGCATGGGTGGACTCCAAGACATATGGCATTAAAACGGGTATCTTCAGTAGATGGAACCTAAGAACCTGCCTTTTTAAAAATTATTTGCGATTTGAGGCATCTCTCTTGAGATCTCTTATAGCACAATTTTCAAGAAAAAGGGAGGGAGATTTTCAGCACTTTGTGAAAATTAACAATTTCTTAGTAACCTCAGAATGATCAGATGATCAATATTTTGATAGTTACAATCAAAACCAAATGCTATACGATTCCACTTTGACATACAGTAAGTTCATCCAAGCCCTTCTTTTGCCACCAAGACATAGCATTGCACTATAGCTTTTTTATGGGAACGGGTCTGCAGTTTCTTAACATTTTGGAAGATTCTGTTTTCCTGTCTTTTTTCTTGACATTTTCTTCAGAGAAATCTTTTTTATTGAAAATATTTGATATTATAAGCTCACGTGGAACAAGAAATTATATTTTAGAGAAGATATTAACATATTATACAAAGATGTAATGATTATTTGTTTCTGAGTTAGCTCTGGTAGTAAACTAACACATGCAGTATCTCAATCTCATTTAATTTCTAGTTTAAGATTAATTATTTTCAGTATGCTACATTCTGGACAGTAGCCCAGCTATGGGTGAGTAATGGTAAATGGTTGGGAGTAATTTTTAAATTAAAATAAAATTGTGGTGTGTTTTCAAAGACTTGTAAAATTAGGTCAATGCCAAAGAAAGTGGTTTGCTTTGCTAATAACTTTGATAAAGGAAGATTACAGAGAAAGCCTACTTCTTGCTGGCCTTGAAAGACTCCTAATGCCTGCCACAGTCATTAGTTTTAGGAGGTGAAGTTTCAAGCTTGTTCAGGACAAGTCCATGAAAATGGAAGCACTGCATAATACATGACAAGCACAGCACCATAATACATGACAAGTACGAAATGCATTTGCATACCTGTAATAACATAAATTCTATTTATTTTATTTTCTAGGAAGTAACAGAATTACTGTGAAAATCTGCAGAACCTCTTTGGAGTGCATTTGAGGTGGAATTTATCCTTTGATATGCTCAGATTGTTTCAATCCTACTTTTAAATTTATTTTGGATTCTTGAATATTATCTGTTCGATTTTTCTGTATTCCTCTGTATTCCATTGTTTACAACACTTATGTGATCCTTTTTGCAAGCAGCTGTATTCAGTTCTCCCTTTATCTGCTCTCTCTTTATATTCATAGAAAGGCATTGGAAAAAAATTCTCAGGCCACAAGGCAAATGCTAATTTCTGGGACTTGGAAGATGCTAACCTAATAAGAACACTATTGAAAAGTTGTCTTAAAAATTTATTTTCCTGCGAATGCTCTAGCACAAGGCCACCTTAGGTAGATCTAGTGCAATGCTCTGACCCTGTTGCATGGGGGAGCTGCGAGTGGGTTTCTTACAGGCTTGCACCTTTGGCTCATGACTTGGAAGGAGCAATGAGATGGAAGGGTTGGGGCTTTCCTTTCCTTCACCCCTCTGCAACAGAAGAGCTTAAATTCACCAACTGAAACATATTTTACAGGTCTTATATTAAATCTCAAAAGCTTTCAAACGAGTACGCTTACTGTTCAACAAAGGCACCTCCTTGCATGATGAAGAAACTGATCCCAAGTTTAATTCTGTATTTCTGCCATGAGAAAACGGGACAGATTATATAAGATTTCTATTTACTGACTAAGGTATGTAACTCATTGCCCAGCCCAGTGATCTGTTGTGACTAGAAAGTTACTGTCTCCTAATTTAGATTAAAGGATATTAACAGAAACTTTCTCAGCCTGATCTCAAGTTCAGACCTGTTAAATATATGTTTATTTATTAAAATCCCCCTGGTAATGTAATACACATTACAACTGAACAACTCAATGTCTCTTAAAACCATAGTAAATTACTTTCTGATCTTTAACATATTAGGAGACTACACTGAAGTGTCCCTCTGAGAAAAGCAAATAACACTTTTAAGGAAAGGAAAAAACATTGTAATAAGTGGTAAATCAAGCATTTCTTCTTCAGCAACAAATTTCCTCATATGGAGTGGCTAATCACTCAGATGTGGTATGACTTACTCCTACTTTGTAGCTTTCAATAACTATTTGCTGGACATCTTCAAATCTCAGTATTTTAAAGAAAGATTAACATTTTTCTCCTTCTATAGGATGAGGAAACTGTCACCGTTTTCAAACTCTACTTTGAAGGCACTCAGTTCTGCTGAGAGTCTCAGCTTGAAATTGTTTTATTTAGCAACATATTTGAAATTAAACTGTGTCTGCTGCGGAAAGGAAGGAAGCGTCTATTGCAACCATCCATCCTTGTGGTCTTCAGCTCCCAAGGGCTGAGATTGAATCCGTATTACAAGTGAACACGCATCTAAATTTCCAAAAAGGTGAAAATAGAGACTTTCAAAGTTTGAGGTTTTAAAAAGGTAAGCTATGATGTACGTGCTTAGTTACCTATATAAGTGACCTGGTCTTCAGATGAGCTGAGTACTTACAGTCTGGATTAGAATGAACAGGAAACTGCACATAGATAAAGCATTTTCTTTAAAAATTAGGTCACTATTTGGTGTACAGAGGCTATTTTGGTTATAATTTTTTATGAGTTTTTTTGTAATACTTTACTACTTATTATCTTCAGATTTTCCTGTCTAAGCACACATCAGTAATTACAATGTGTAATTTATTAATAAAAACCTGAGAAACAGGCAAATAAACAAGGTATTTTCTAATATAGTTCATATTAGAACCATATTAGTTTCCATAATAAATAATTTTCCACATGGTGTATATCAAAAATAAGAGATATAAACTAGGTGTATCTTTGGGTCTGAATCTGAGAATAACTATAGCACAACCATCAATAAAGTGTCCTTTGCTTCACTGAGACTGTAAATAATTATACTAATTCACTGTAAATAATTATACTTCCTGGAGCAGGAAGATGTAAATGGCAAAGTAGGTTTTGATGAGTTTTGAGGCTTTTTTTTTTTTCCTCAGATCAACTCAAATCTGACTTTAATAAACTTTTAATAAACTTTGAAAAAGGTAACAACACATTCATTTCAATATCAGCAATTCTTGCACAGGAATTACATGACATATAATTATGTTTTTAACAGTGGGATGATTAAACAAGACAGACTGCAATGATGTGTTCATTCATATAATACATAATTCCCGAAAGAAATAGGAAAGATTTCTACACTGACCATAGTCTGTGTTTTCCGGCTCCCAACAATTTGATGGCCAAAAATAGGGTGTCTATAGACAAAACAAAAAAGTAGGGAACTCAAGTTAGACAATGCAAGCATTATACAGTCCTTGGATTGATACTGGTTTTCAGAGTCAATTTACATTTTTGGTAAATCTATTATATTGTTAACTTGACAATTTTGAAAAAGGCATCAAAACAGAAAATTACTTTTGTATGCTTGTTTATTGCACTACTGTCGGAATGGCATTGAAAAAGAGGAACAAAGTGTTCTTTTTATTCTTAAAGTTAAGGGAACAAAAAACACAAGGTTAGGTAGTGAGGTTGTCTTTTTCATCTTCCCTAGCAACATACCTATCACATGTCCTGAAGAATCAGTTTTAGAAGGTGAAAAGACAGAAGATACTTTGGGGTACATTTAATTCTTGATTTTGGAGAGTTTTCATTAGTATACATTAATATTCAATACTCTTCCTAGGAGTTATTTGTTTAAAAATGCCACTAAACACAACCTGTTTTCACAAAGTTGTCAAAGTTATTTTCATTTGTTGAAGTCTATTTTTTTTCTAATTGTTTACCAATTGTGATTTAAAATGTGATTTTCTTAATGGAGAGCCAATAAAGTATCAATAACTAGTTCAATACTATGCTTAAAAACTGTGCTAAATGTATTGTTAAAATAATTCACTTCTATCAAATGAAGAATATAAGACCATATAGGCATTTTTCATACAAATAACTTAATTTTTAACATGGTAACTTTTTGTTAAAATGTAAAGGATTTATACTTTATACATAACACATTCATATATATATATACATACACACACACACAGAGAATTATATATTATTTGAGCAGTTGAATTAATCTCATTAAATATGTGGACGGGTCTGAGTGGTATTTCAAAACACAGATGCTTCCTGAGGAGAAACTTCTGCTTTACTCTTTCTTATTCGTTTTTCTCAAAGATCTCCCAGCTGCAAAATTGGAAACCTCTTTTGCTGCCCACTTCCCTCAAAATTGCTTTAATGTTAATCTGGAAACCAACAGGGCTGAAGGGTGACACATTCACACCTACTATCAGGTTAAATATATATTGTGAAAAATCTCTCTCTATTGTAACAATGACCCATCAACTTTAATAGGAATGATTTAGAACTTGCTGTTTATCAAGCAACAGCAATGAGTTAAAGGATGAAAAAGAAACTATCACAAGCTAACTTCAAAGGCTGAGATGTGTTTCTTGTAAGCTGTTTTGTGCTCTGGAGCAGCCATAAGTCATTCTCCTATCAAATATTCCTTCGCAGTGCCACTGAAATCAAAGTGACCAGTATAAGCACAAATGGAAAGAAGAGGAAGCCCTAAACAATGAATGGCGGCAGCACTCAGTGAATCCTGGAAAAGCAAGAAGCTATAAAAGTAATTTAACAATGTCAATCATATAAAGCATAAAGTCACCACTATTTAAATACACAGTTTTCAAACTTGGGGAGAGAGAACAGTCCTTCCTTAGAGGCATGAAGTGTATCTCAAGAAAGGCCCGAGAAGAAAAGTACAACCACATCATTTTCCTGCTAACAGTAACTTTAACCTCTGTTTACGGGTTCAAGCTGAGCTTCTGGAAAAAGGATGCAATAAGAGTTACTAAATACATAGAAACTATATCCACTCAAGCAACTCCTGAGCTGAAACTGGCTGGGGCTCAGATTTTATTTAGGGGTGAGTAGCAGTTATGGTGGAGGATGGCTGGAGAAAGGTGCAGGGGAAGAGCCCTTTCAGAAATAAAGAGACAGATTCTTCCAATTGTGGGTATACTTGCTGCAAATTCCACATTAAAACTCCTCATACATACTTAGGATTTCCCTTGACAAATTGCATATACTCCCATCCCAGCTGAGATAAAAAATAAATTCTGTCTTCTGATTTTGAGCAAATCCCAAAATTGCTTTTGGCATTCGTTTCACATCAGGCTATGAGGAAATACTATATATTCACGACTATATGTTTATAATGTAAGAGGAGGACTCTGTTGTTTAATACATAAATGAAAAGCTACACCCAGCCAGCAAGAATACTGCAAGAAATAGTTCTGAGAGGCTCTTAGAGAGATTATATCAATCAAGGATAAATCTGATATTACTGTTTTCAGTATTTAGTTAAAATAACACATTAAACTTCTATTGGGACTTGAACATCAGTGGTGGAGGGAGTGTGGGTGCTAAACAGAATATGGGAAAAGGGGCAGGATCTTCAATGTTGTGAAATGTCACTTTAGCTTACTAGGAGGCAGAGGTGGCCAAGGCTTTTCTGAAGGTTGAAAAGGTTCCAATGGCAGGACCTGCTTCTAACACAGAGACTCAGTTCAGTCCAATGCTGAGAAGTGTGAAAATGCACTGAGGACACTTTTTCCTTTCCAAAGCTGAACAAAACTTTCACGGGAACAGACAAAATAGATTTTGTTCCGTTAGAGAATACCTGACCAAGGCTCTGCAGGTGTGTAGTACTTGGAGTGAAAGCGACTGCAGGATGAGACTGGTATTCTGCAAAGACGAGCACAGCAGCTGAGGGCCAGCAGGCTCAGAGAACAGGCAGAGGAGGTCTCTTGGGAAGGTAAACCGAGGGACAGAGATGGAAGGGAAATGGCAGTTATTGAAAGAGACCATACTAAATGTCCAAGTACCTTTAGAGATAAAGTGTAGTGACAGGCCAGTGTCACCACTCTGGCAATCTCCAATCAACTAAACATCAAAAAGAGATCATGGAAAAAGCACAAATTAATGCATGTGCTACTAAGGATGAGTCTAAGCCTCCCTGCACCACCATGCCTCTGGAGATAAAAGCAGAAAAGTTAAAACAGAACATGAGTTTTAATTAGCAAATTATAAGTCATAATAAAAGGTTTCAATAATGTCCTATAAGGTAAGCCAAAAAGAAACCCCAGCAAAAGGCAAACATTACGATATGAGAAAGGGGTTCAAATAACAGTTAGTACAGATAAGTACAGAAGATTATTAAATGCCTTCCTTGTTTGAGTGTCCAGAAGGAGGGAGACTGTGGTCAGATAAAGGTCTCTCTGCCAAGGGAATGACATGCAGGCGTGAGCTCTCCTTGCTGATGCTCTGAAATGGGCAGGCACAAGGTGCCTCTGAACTGCAAGCCGTGACCCTGCCTGCGTGGTGCTCGGATGCACTTAATGGGACCTGCTGAGAAGTACAGCTCATCAGCTCAAGCACTGCAATGGGGCTGGAGCTGGCCTCCAGCCAGATGGCTCCCAGTGAGAACAAAGTTCAAGTCTGCCTGCAATCAGCTCTGCGAACACGCCTAAAATTAATTTTGACATGAAGATTAAGACTACAGGACACAGTACAGGAAAAAAAAAACAGGAAGAGAAATATTTATGTGAAGTCAGACAGTTCAGGTTAGCGGCCTGATGAAATTCAGCACAAAACGCTTACGGAATTATTGTGTTTTCATGTGGGTAAACTGTGTTTATTTGTAAAAAACAAAAAAGCCTCACCAAACTAAAGAACGACTCCTGGTTCCTCAGCACTGTGAGTTATGTGCATGTGTAAATATTATGACAAAATTTTTGCTCTGGTACTTCTCTTTCTCCTCTATCTCTAACTCTCTATAGTATCTAGTATCTAACTGGCAAGTTATCAAAAGTATTGGATTATCTGCATGATGTTTAAAGGGGTGTGAGTTACCTGAAGGGCAAGTTATACACAGAAAAAATATTAATTAAAGTAACCTTTGAAATATGGGCAGTTATTTAAAAAAAAAAATCACGTAAGGCAGAGGAGCCTCAGAAGACTACAGCAAGGGGAAGATCTTCCTTTTTCAGAAAAGGGGAAAAGCTGAAATTTTCTGTATTCTAATCTTTCTAGATCTAGTGTCTAGATTGAACAGTTGTAATACACTATCCATTTCTGGATCCTTAAAAGCTAAAGGTTGGGTTTTTATTGGATTTCTCAATAACATATTAGGTCACTGACAGTGTAAAGCCCCTACTAGATGAGAAATAAACAGTAGATGCTATGTATTTGGACCAAGGCAAAGTCCTACTTTACTTTCTTACCACCAAGTAAAGAATTATGGTATCACCATAAGATATGTGCTCAAATGCAGCTACAGCTGCTGATAAAGTTGTATTCATAGAGTAGAAAACTATTATTCACTTTCAAAGCAGGAAATGGCATTGGTGAGTGCAGAGACAAGGAAAATTCTCCTAAAACCAGGCACAAAAAATAAGGGACAGGATTAAGACTTAAACAGAAAGAAAGGCCAAAAAAAAAAAAACCAAACCTTTAAAAAACCCTAGACACTGAAAATAAAACATGATAAAAAAATCAGTTTCTGATTAAAGGATTTTTGCAATGCTGTGATTGTATGGAAAAAATCCATCAACAATAAACTTGTGTGTAGTTAAAATGACTGACGTTTTCCCAAAGGTGTATTCCACGTTTTCTTGCCTAATTGTTTGGTATTAATAGTCATAAAGTTCCGGTCTTAATCTACCTCGCCATGTGTCATGCACACTGGATAAACTGGAATTCCCATTGATAAATCGTAGCAATAAAGTAAATCTCAAGCAACGTCACTCCTGGCTGAGAAAAGACCCAGGGAGAAACCTCATCACAAGGCTCCCACGGTAGTACAATTCAGTTATTAGGATGATACATTAAGATTTTGGGGAAACGTGTATCGAGGCCCCCCATTCAGGCTGGCCCTTGAGTGCACCGGACAGCCCCTTGCCTGTCTCAGTTCTTCAGGGGCATGCTCTAAGTGCACCCCACCGCCCCCAGCTGCTGACCTCCTCAGCCCCAACGCCTCATGGGCTCCTACCTGCACAGAGATTTATTGTCCCAACCTCTGCAATCAGGCAAGTTAACACCACGCTTGCACAAGGTCTCAGACAGAAATCCCTGGAACCTTTGACTCCAAAAACCTGATTTTCCTACAAATGGAGTCTGAAGTCTGCTTTGCCCCTTAGACGTTACAGACCTCAAATGGTTTAATCACATAACACGTGACTATAATGTATATGCT